ATGGTATTGAGTCCATCCACATAACCAAATAGCTTGACGACTTGGCTACCTAGCAGCAGTGTTGGTCAGCCTTGTTTGGTCGTAACATTGCTTGTCTGGCACCACTGTGCGACCACCCAACTGGTTGGCATTGTCACCAGCTAGGCAGGCCTGAATTAGGCAGGCCTAAGGCCTGACCTAATTCCATTTTACCTAATTGTCCACTATAAATAGAATGTTTCTTCCTCCATGAGCAGGCGGCTTCTAAGGATCTCTCTTTTTGGACTCTTCATTCACACTCCATTATTCACATATACTCTCACATAGATGGTTCCTTCCGGCTGGGAGGTACCATCGTTTTTCACACACCAACCTAGCTTGATCGTCGGAGTTTGCTTCCGGGACATAGACCCTAGAACGGTTCGGTCTTCCTCTTGTTGTTGTTGTTGTTGTTGTTGTGCTTATTATTATTATTATTATTATTATTATTATTATTATTATTATTATTATTATTAAACAAAACTGCAAAAATGGTCTCTGTAGTATGTATTTTTTCTGAGGTTTGGTCCAAACCTCGACTTTTTTGGATTGGTGGTCATTTTGAGCTACTTTGGTTGTGGTTTTGGTCTCTCACTAAACTGAAATGACTAATATGCCCTCCTGGTATTTGTTTTATCTTTTTCTATTTAATTTAATACTTTATTAAATTAAAATATAGGGCCCACCCACTCTCTATCTCTCTCACTCTCTCTCTCTCTATCTATCTATCTCTATCTCTCTCTCTCTTAATTCCAACGATCCATCTTATTCTTCCTACGAATTAGTCCTAGATGAACAAACTCATATGAACAAAAAAACACCCATAACAAATTGCCCATGTTGTTTTCTTTCTGAATCAAATTTGTGTTTCCAGAAATAGGACCGTGTAGCAATGACGATGGTGGATGAGGAGGAGAAAGAAAAATCAAACCTGAGGACCACCAGATACTCGATTCAACCAAAAAAAAAGAAGATGATTTCAATATTTAACTTCAACCAGAAAACCAAACCTGCGATGGTGGGTTGTATTTGAACTTATGAAATCGAAAATCAACTTCAACTAGAGAATCAAACATTTAGCTTCAACCAGAAAATCAAGTTCAAAAACAAAATCAAAATCTAAAATTAAAAATCAACCAGGAATCAAATATTCAAATTAAAGCAAAAAATCAAACCGGAAAATAAAACTATAAAATCAACCAAAAATTCACGTTTTAAGGAGTTGTGTTTGTACATCTGAGATGGGTCATTTCTGGAATTAATCAAGGGTTTTAACAATTTATGGGTTCGAATGGGTTCATGGTTCGATTTGCAAATAGAGACAAATCAAGCTTCGATTTGGAACCTAGTTAAACAGAGAAAAAAGGGGAGGGTTATCAGCTCTGATTTTGTTTTGAAAATCTTTGTCTTGGTCACCATATATTCGCTTGGAAAGCTTCGTCTTCTTTAAAGCTTACAGATCTGGAGGACGACGTGCACCATTTTGTCTCAAAGTTGAGTTGTTTTGAACCTTCATCGTCTCAGGGTTTCGAACACTGCTACCTTCATCGTCTCCGAGTTCCGATATGAGGGTTTCGAACGTCGTCGCCTTCATCATCTTAGGGTTCCAATTTGAGGGTTCTAATGGTAGTCGACTGTTGGTGGTTTTTGAGTTGTTGGCGGTGGTAGGTGGAGGTACCGGAGTTAGAGAGGGGATAAGAGAGAGAGAGAGAGAGAGAGAGAGAGAGAGAGAGAGAGATAGAGAGAAAAGGTGGGCCCCTTATTTTTTTTAATTATTAAAATAAATAAATTAGTAATAGTTTTAAAAAGAACAGAAAGGAAAATGGAAAATAAATACCCTAAGGGATTATAGTCATTTCACTATTCGGAAGGACCAAAAACATAACAAAACTAGCTCAAAAAGACCATGAACCCAAAAAAAAGTCGAGGTTTGGACTAAACCTCGAAAAAAATGCATACCAGATGACAATTTTTACAATTTTGTCTTATTATTATGTAACATATTTATAAGCGTTTGATTTATGAACAGGTTTGGAGCTGTGTCTTTCCAGATTTATTTTATACATATCAAAAAAGACGGGACTATATAGAATGTAATAATCTGTTACATTACTTCGCATATATTATTATGTTCATTCCATTACTGTTATCTATTTCATAATATAACTAAAAACGTCTTACTTCAATTTTGGAATCAAAAGTACATCGATATATTATATTGAATATGGTTCAACTTTTCGATACACTAGAAATATTAATCCTAAAATTTTTGTATTATATTTAAGGTTCAAGTATTAATTATAAGAAATATTACTATAATTAAATGTGATAAACATTAATTATTTATAATAATATTATGGTACATATTAGAAAATCTCTATATTAAATTATATATAAATCGATAATTGTTTAATTGATACTTTGGTTATATTCATGTTTATCTCAAAATACCGCTTGAGATTGAGATATTTCAGGTCCACTTTGTACAAAGTGTAAACGTTGACTTTGAAGTTAATAAGCATGAAATTGAGTCCTTATAATTAATTAAACACAAATAATTAAGCACCACCAACAATCATATTCATTGTTTAATTATTGAAAGCATTTTAGCGAAGAAGATTGCAGCCATGTTTCCCTCTTTAGAGACCTTGATTCTCTTCTTAACACCATTTTTCCTTTTGATGATTTTAATCCATATCAAATGGATATCATCGCATTCGAATACCACCAAAAACTTACCACCATCTGTACGAAGGTTTCCGATCATCGGAAACCTACACCAACTAGGCTCAGCCCCTCACCGTTCTCTGAGGACATTAGCCCAGAAACATGGTCCGCTAGTGTTGATTCATTTAGGCAGCGTGCCTGTGGTTCTAGCTTCCTCCGCTGAGGCAGCCCAAGAAATCATGAAAACCCATGATCTAATATTCTCAAACAGACCCGATATGGGTATTCTCAATAGATTGACTTACAATGCTAAAAACGTAGGATTTGCAGGTTATGGAGAATATTGGAGGCAGGCAAAAAGTCTTCATGTCCTCCACCTCCTAAGTGCAAAAAGAGTTGACTTGTTCCAACATGTCCGAGAAGACGAGATAGCTCTTATGATCAATATGATTGGAAACAACAGTGATTCTGTGATCGACTTAAGCAAGATTATTGTTTCGCTTACGAGTGATATCATCTGTCGGATAGCTTTGGGACGGAAATATGACAAGAAGTTTACAGACTTGACAACGAGGTTAATGGAGATGTTGGGTGTGTTTAGCGTTGGTAGCTATATTCCATATCTTTCGGTGGTGGATCGTTTAATTGGTTTGGAAGCAAGAGCAGATAAACTTGCGAAAGAATTTGATGTGTTTCTGGAGGGTGTAATCGAAGAACACTCGGATAGAAATATAAGAATGGTTAGTGGTGGTGGAAGGCAAGATGTGGTTGACATCTTATTAGAAATTCAAAGAGAACAAACCACCGACTTTCTTGTTCATAGAGATACCATTAAAGCTTTAATCTTGGTAAGCAAATGTCCTAAACTTTTAATATTAGTCTAGAAGACCCAACTTCTATCTTTTTACTAAATAACCAAAATTCCGAAATTGGGTGTTTCCGTTTTTTAATGGTATAGTATGTTCAGTACAAAAATGATACATTTTTTTGAAATTTTGGATTCGGGATATGTTTTTTAAATTTTGGAACAGTTTCTTTTTTTTACTTTGTCAACAATGTTTAGCCCAAAATCTGAAATTTACTTTTTTTTTTTTGGTATGACATAAATTTATTTCAAGACAAAACTGATTTTTCCTGAAATATAAATTTTCGGGCATGATGGCCATTTGGCTAACTAAACAAAATTGTGTCATTTTCCTATATTTTCTCGCAATCATGTGGTCAGTTTTGTGATTATCCCTATATAAATCTTGGAGAAGTAGCTAGTTTAAACTTTCTCTCTCTCTCTCTATATATATA